CAAAGATTATGAAATTCTGGCTTTAAAATGTGTTTTCCCTGAAGAATATATTAAGGTTCTTTATTTGTTTTTTACGATATCAGACGAGCCAGCCTTTTCAACATGGCCCGTGCATTTTTATTTAGCTATCCATTAATATTACCTCATAAGAACTGAGAAAGCTGTTGCCTTTTGGGTTCATACTTACATTTGGTCTCCGGGGTAAAGCAAATATTGGCACACACTTGGAAAAGCTTGTTGGGTTTTCAGTGCTTGTGCATTTCATGCTTTGTTATTTATTTTCCTACTGCTACAATGTTTGATCAAGTAGTGATAGTTTTGGTGACAAAAATCTTAAGTTCTGATAAACTGATTTTTGGTGAAATAATTTGTCCTCTGATAATGAATAATGAACCTGTGTTTACTTAACCTGCAGATCTTCTGTATGTTTTGTCCAATGTGTCGCGAAATCTCAATTTTATCGAGCTTATGCAGTTAGAGTGGTGGAAAATGTATGTATCTGCAATGAACACATGTCGTTACAGTTTTTTGATCCGGCACATTTTAGTTTCTGATTTTATTTTTTTACTTTTTTTTTTCTTTTTCCAGAAATCAGAGAGCAAAGCCTATTATAGTTGATCCTGGTCTCTACATGTCAAAAAAATCTAATCTTTTTTGGACCAGTCAACGCCGGTCTGTACCGACAGCTTTCAAGTTGGTTACCGGTGAGTTTCTCTTCCCGTTTCTTATCAGCTTCAATCATTGTGTATAACTTATGGGATTCGTTATAAGAATTATCATCCCCACTAAACAATCTCCAAGAGTATCGTCCAATACGGAATCAGCTGTTGTAGTATTACTGTGGGAAGTTATGTTTTTTTCATGTTTAAATTCCTACAACAACAACATCATAGCCTTTTAGTCCCAAACAAGTTGGGGTATGCTAGAGATGAAACTCAAGCGAACAAATGGTAAGAGAAACACAAAAAGAGCTCAAAAACAAAAGGAAGAGATTGGAGCAAAAGAGAAAGGAGCAAAAGTCACGGTTCTGGCACGTTGATTGCTAGTCTCCAAGCGCTCTTATCCACCGCTAAATCCTTGGAGATATTCCAATCTTTAAAATCTCTCTTAACCAACTCTTCCCAAGTGAGTTTAAGCCGACCTCTATCTCTCTTTACATCATCGACCTGGTGTAGACTCCCCTATGCACCGGTGCATCGGGAGGCCTCCGTTCGAGTTCCTAAACTAAGCTTTATTAGAGGTTTTAAATTGAAGTTGCAAACATAGTCTTAAACAAGTCGCCAGAGCCAAAGCCTTTTTGTCTGTTTTATTAAACAAGCATGAACTCGAACATGAGTTACTCGGCTCGACTCAAATATTCACTTTTATCAAATTTTGTTTTAATTGTTTTGTAGGCTCGGCTTGGGTAATCCTAACCCGCTCGTTTGTCGAATATTGCATATGGGGTTGGGATAGCCTCCCACGAACGGCACTCATGTACTACACAAACTTCGTCTCGTCTCCCGAGGGTTATTTCCACACGGTTATCTGCAACTCGCCCGATTTTCGGGCCACGGCCGTGAGCCACGACCTTCACTACATCTCGTGGGACCGCCCTCCGAAGCAGCACCCGAGGACCCTCTCGGTCAACGACTTTGGCCACATGGTCAGCAGCAGCTCGGCTTTCGCCCGGAAGTTCCGCGCGGACGACCCGGTTCTTGACAGGATCGACCGTGAGCTTCTCGGGCGCCAGGCGGGTCAGTTTGCCCCAGGTGCTTGGTGTGTGGGAAACGGGCCCGACCCGTGCGGCTCGAGGGGGGATGACTCGGTTTTGAGGCCCGGCCCGGGAGCCCGGAGGCTAGAGGGGCTCGTTCGGAGGCTGTTGTCTGAGGATTCGCGGCGTAAGAAGTGCCCGGGTTTGTAGTGTACATATAAATTTGTTCATCTGAGTAATATGCACACAGGCTCTGAATTTTTGGTTTTTTTTTTTTTTTTT